TTGACTGTCCATGAGCAAAGTCGCATGCCCATACTCAGGAGTTATCCCTGCACCGACATTGCACCCAGGGAGTGATGAAGGAACAGTCCCATCGCCTTCAGGTTTCCATCCTTCCCCCCATCATATGGCACTGTCCGAGCTGTCTGCCTCCCTGCTCTGTAGAGGAGAAGGCATTGTAAAGTTAACAGCTGTTTAAAACCTACCCCCCAGGTGCAGGTGATAGGCCAGGTGCTGGGCTTGCACCTGCAAACCAGGCCAGCAGGGAACTAATGGAGTGCAGGCGTGTTAGCAGAGAATGTGTCAGTCCTAAATGGAAGGTTGGGGAAGGGTGATGAGGGAGAAATAGGCAATGCACTATGGTAGAGAAGGAGGTGGGAGAGGGCTCACCAGGATGGGGGGGGGACCAGCCTCAACAAGGGAGGGGCTCACCAAGGACCTGGGTGGAAACAGCCTCAGCAAGGGAGGGGAAGCAGGAAGACACGCGCGATCCTCGCCATTTCCATGCGGGCGCTCCCAGAGCGCGGGCTTCTCGCTGCCTGTCTGTCTCGCTCATTTTGTTCCGTGTTGTCCTCCCCTTGACCCCACCCACACCCGAGAATGGAACTTCACCTGCCAGAGAATGAAGACAGTTCTTTTGAGGCACAGTCTGACAGAGGCCAAGCGGCTGGTGGAATATTCACAATGCCTCCCTGTTTCCCTTTGTTTTGCAATAGCAAGTGTCCCTTTGATGGGCACTTAATTCTGGAGGCAACTCCTGCTTCCCAGTTCCCTCTGCTCAAAATATTAAATGCAGCTAAGTCTGCATTCCCGCTATGATCATCTCCCTCCGCGTGGAGGGAGCAAGGCCAGAATGGGAACACTTTAGACTCTTCAAAGAGGGACAGTTATTGAGGTAGCCAGATTAATGAGGTGTCATGACAACTTAGCCAGATCTGCAACTGACCTTTCTCATGGAGAACGGGCTTGATAAATGCAGTTCATTACCAAGCTCTGACAGAAAAATAGGAACACACTCTGGACTCGTCAGTACACTGATCAATATTTTATCTGTCAAAGAAAGCCTGGTCTAGATGCAGGAGGATCCTGGGACTAACTGGACAACCTCTGCTGCATGTGGGATCCTAGACTAGCCAGAAAGTGGCTTGGGTGCCTTCTGACAACCAGTCAGGCATGGAGATGTCCCAGAATAGGGATGGCCCTGGGTAGAGGAAGAGAGGGGAAAAAAATCCAAGATGGCCTCCTCATTCTGTATATGTATATGTATAGAGTGAGTTGTCAACTACCTCAGTGAATGAGACAAAAATGAGTGAGCTACATCTCTCCTCACTGGAGTCAACCTGCCAGTGTCATCAAAAGGACACCTCAGGCCTGGATGGCTCCTGTTCTGTCATGATGCTGTAAGAAGTTAAAGTGCCTGGGACACGACCCCCTACCCCATCACACTCGGATGGTCCTCAGGCTCCCTTAGGCAGTGCTCTTTAGGGGTGTCAGTTTCAGTTGTATTAGCTACTTTTCTCATTGCTGAGACAAAATTGACTTACGGACAAATTGATTTGGGCTCACAATTTGAAGGTACAGCCTGTCACGGTGGGGGGGAAGGCGTGGAAATGGGAGCTTGAGGTGCCTACCAGGCACATTGCGTCCACATTGCAAAGAGACATGGACACTGGCACACAGCTGGCTACTTCCTCTTTTCCTTTTTATTTAGGCCCCAGCCCTTGGGACTGTTCTGCCCACATTCAGAACTCTACCTCTTTGGAAACTCCCTCACATGCATCCCTAGAGGTGTCTCTCCTAAGTGATTCTAACTTCGGTCACTTGACAGTGATGTTGAAGCATCACCCAGGCCAAATTCAATAGCCTGTCACATTTATGGTCTGAATTTCCCTGGCCCCAGGCTGGCCTAAGAAGCCTTGGAAATGGACTAGAGAGGGGTGTGTAGTGAGTACCCAAGTCTCTGCCACACACCCTCCAGGAACCTTCCCCTTCAAGGAGCCAAGTGTGCTGAAGCCCAGACTAAAGCAGGACCCTGCTCCGGTCCAAGGATGTCACATGCCCTCCCTTCCTGGCACCCTAGGCAGAGGCTGCCTTAGCTTCTGGCCAACTATGTTGATGTCAGTTATACACACTAAATGAATATAGATGATTGATTTTATTCATTGCGTTCTGTTTGTTGTTTTCACTTTTTGAGTAGGGTCTTTCACTCCCTATCCCTGGCTGGGCAGAAACTGTATAACCCGGGCTAGCCTCAAACTTGTGGTGATTCTCCTGCTTCTGACTCCTGAGTGTTGTGATTACAGCTCCTGGCTTGATTTTATTTATTCATCCACGTGGCTATCTGCTTATCTCTTCAACTGGTACATCATTCTTTTATCACGTGGATGTCAGGGGGCAACTTCATGGAGTCACTTCTCTCCATCTTTACACAGGTTCCAGGGATGGAACATAGGTTGGCACATGAGAAACTAAATGGTTTGGAACTGGAAACAGGGTAGTGAACTCTTCCTGGGAAGACAGACAAGCCTGCCTCGGGGAGGAAACTCACCCTGCAACTGAACTCAAAGACTGGAAGATAGCATGGGATGGTGGCACAGAGCCACCAGGAAGACATGTTTGTAGGAGAAGCGTGTCTCCAGTAAATGAGGGTAGACCACAGACTCTAAAGTGATTGACTCTATTGGTGTGTAAATCTCTACACATGGTGGCTTTCTCTGCTATGTCCTCAGGTCTTTCAAATGTGTGTGGTGTCTCACTACCCATCTTCCTGCCTGCTCTAACCCCCAGGTGGCCCTGCTGTCACAGGTTCTCAGGATCTTCATCACTGACTAGCATGTCTAAGGAAGGCCTCCTATTAATACCACTTCAGTCACTGTAGACATCAGCTTCCCAGCATCTGGTGCAGGTGCCTGTCCCCAGGGAAACCTGACAGTCCCTCCAGTTTATGCACAGCCTCCATGTGGACATTTCTGCCAGCACCCACAGCAACATCTCAACGGCTACCCCTCCATTCCCACTCTGTTCCCTTATTTCTGCTCCATTTGTCAGCACAGATTTCACCCTCTTTGGTAAGGGGTGATGGGCTAGACTCAGGCAAGACCATCCTACTCTTTACCCAAAATAGTTTTTTGAGAAGAAAAATCCAGCCACCAGACACATTTTTCTCTGTCTTACTGGCTTTGTCAAGAAACTAGGCCAAGGAAGCCATGCTCAATAGTCCATGGTCATGTAGGTTTAAAAACAGGGTATGTGTGTGGGTCCCAGGAACTCTCAGGAATAGATCCCCTACCAGGCAAGAGAGGATGTGAGCATGTGTGGGCATGGGAGAGGGCCCTCGTGTCAGAGCATGGCGATTCCCAGGAAGCAAGTAGATTTGATTATATTGATTTTTTTCTAAATAAACACACTAAGGAAATAGTAACAGGCATTTGTTTCTGATGAAAATCAATTGACCCCAAATTGGGAGAAAATCTAGAAACACAAACAAGCGCCAAAAAAAGGTGTTTCATCTTCCTGGGCTTCTCCAATGAAGGAAGGATGGCAGGAGAGAAAAACAGTTCCTTGCCCCTTTCCCACGGAGAAGCTTCTGTGAGTCTCTGCTCTCCCCATCATGGTTCCAACAACTAAAAGTGGGAGAGTAGCGACCAATCACTGAGTATTGGCTCAGAGTAAAGATATGTGTGACTATGTTAATGAACCCTCATAATATCCCCATGTGGATATATGGATGCACTATTATACCATTTCTCAGATGAGATCATTGAGGCCCCTTGTCCCAAGTTATACAACCTGGAAACTGGGACTCACAAACCTAATAATTCCCAAACTCAAGCCTGTTCATTATCCAGTCGTAAGAGGTTAACCTGGCACCTTAAACTGGTGTTGGAATTCAGGGGAAGAAGCCCTGACCCCAGAAACTCCATACCCAGCACCTACTGATCTTCCATTTAGAATGGAAGGCATGCACCAGCACTCCCCAGACTCAACAAGGCCGAGCTTAGAAAGTGTTTGGTGTCCCCAGGGGAGACAGGAAACTGGGCTAGAGGAGCACTGCTCTGTGACGTCCCTGCATCCCTGGTTTACTGGCTGCACTCTGTATGGTGGCCCCGTCACCAGCAAGATAAACTATGTCATGTCAAAGTGCATCACAGGCTTCATTTGCCAAAGCACCATGCAATGATGTGTGTTCAGTAAACACACCCGTGATAAAAGGCCTAAGAGTAATGGGCTGTGTGCGCCGGTTTAATCTCCTAAAGCTTCCTTTTGTTTCTTGGTCATGGACTTGTGTACACATGTTTGTTTTCAAGTAACCCAGCTCTAGGAGTGTACATAATTACCTTAAGAAGGGATTATTAGCCCCGTTAACTAAAACTCCCTAATCTATGAGGCCAAGGATTCAAAAGCAGCCTTCAGGATAGGATTAAGACAAAAAGCGGACTGAGACAGAATGAAATTGGGGCTGGCTTTCCTCGCACAGTGGGACAACGGTTGCAAATCCCACTGGAAGATTTTCCCCCATTATGTCTGGCTCATAGAGGAACTCACTTAAATATCAGTAGGCTGGAGGGGTGAGCAGAGAGGCAAGGGACAGTTGAGCCCTCTCCATGACAGTGGTTGGATAGGTGGACAGATAGACAAGTGAGCCAGCCCCTCTATAACAGTGGCACTGTTTTATTGGGGGGTGCTTTTTATTTTTAAGATTTGTTTATTTATTGTGTATACAGTGTTATATACGTCTGCACACCAGGAGAGGGCATCAGATCTCATTATAGATGGTTGTGAGCCACCATGTGATTGCTGGGAATTGAACTCAGGACCTCTGGAAGAGTAACCAGTACTCTTAGTCTCTGAGCCATCTCTCCAGCACCCAACAGTGGCACTATTTACTACACACTGGAAATAACCCAGCAACTGCTTATGAATGAGATGGGTAAAGGGATGGATGGGTGGAACATTCTCTCACAGGGGACATTTGATGTAACAGCCCCATCTTTTCTTTCCAGGTGACATGTGCACCATGGCTGGCTATGCTCGTCTCAAAAATGTCCTTCTGGCACTCCAGAGCCAAAGACAGCTGCTCCAACAAGGAACCAACAGGCAGAGCCTCGCCTCCCAGAAGCGCCTCTTGGTGGAGTCGCTCTTTAGGGACTTGGATACGGATGGCAATGGCCACCTCAGCAGCTTGGAGCTGGCTCAGGTGGGTATGGCATTCAGTCGGGACTGTGGAGAGAGCCTGCATGGCACGTGTGGGGAAGAAACACTTCCTTGGCGGAGACAGTAGTTTGTAACCGTCTCTGTCACAGATTGCCAGGGGACCTCTGTCCTATCCTTCCCAGGATTCACAACTTGTTGTCGGCACCTCTGACAATGCCTTACACACAAAAGCCTGTCCCTGTCTCCCTGCCACCTGTCACCTCAGCCTATGTTTACAAACCACTTTTGATGCTTCCTCAGCTTGCAGGCAAAGCATCCCTCAGAGGGGCTGCCCCCTGGTGTTTTCCTCGGAAAACCAGTCTTTGACGTTTTTTGAGCCTGTCACTTCTACAGCAGAAATGTCAAAGGGGGAACAGTACTTGGTATGGTGAGCATCTTTGGTGCTCCAGCCTGGGGGTTCCCAAGGCCCCTGCCCAGCAACAGTGCTGGCATCCAAATAACAGTGACCCAGCCCCAACCCCAGCTGTTTTACTTGTGGGAAGCCCTGTGTCCACTCCATCAAAGGCACTAATCTGAAAATGCTTGTGGATCCCACCCTGAGGTTTGCCTCTTCTCCAAAGCTTTGGGTTAGAAGATATCACTCTATCCAACTTTAAGGAGGTACCTGGGTAGTTAGTGTCTATATCACAAAAGAAACAAGAAAGAGCAATATTACTCCCTGGGGCCACTGTCACTGCCACTGCCAGGGAGAGGCTCAGAGGGTTCTGGTGGCAGGAAGGTTGGCATGGGATAGATGGGCTTGTTGTTCTAGCCCAGTCAAAGTAGATATAAGCAAGGAAATGAGTGCAGTTTTCCTAGGTGAGTGGTCCATAGAGACCACTCTGCCCCAGAGGCTACAGAGTGGTAACCCAGAGAGGAGATGACAGGACGAGTTCTCACCTTTGATGCCATGACACAAAATGATAGTCTGGAGGCTGGGGCAGTAGCTTAGCAGGTAAGGCACCTGCTGTGTGAGAGTTTGGATCCCCAGAAGCTGTGTAAAAGCCAGGTGGGTGTGGGGTCACTCTGTAAACCCTATATAACAGAAGCAGAGACAAGCCGGAAGCTCTGGCTTCAGTGAGAGGACCTGCCTCAGTAGTGCTGAGAGCAATCAAACTAGGCTTCCCTGTACACACACATGTGCAGCACGCACATGCAAACATACAGACACATACAGACACGCACATGCTCAACAGTAACAAGCAAGTTGATAGCCAGATCAAGTTAATAGCCTGTGATGGATAAATACCGCCTTGATGCTCTAGGTAGGGACAGGAGCTAAAAACGCAAGCTTCAAAGCCAAGCAGCCTGCAGTCAAGGTCTGCGACCAGCATTTGTGAGCTAGTGAGTCCCCAGAGGCACCTCACTCCCAGGCCTCCATTCCTCAGCTGTGAACCTCGCAAAGTCATCACCAGAGTTAATGGTGCTAAGACAGTAAGACATGATGTATTTAGCATTTTCACAAGGCAGATGGGATGTTCCTGGTGGGCGGCATCATCATCATCATCATCATCATCATTGCTCTCTCCCGTCATCCTTCAGCATCCTCTCGTTTAAGATCAGCACTGCTACTGTCCCAGTTCACAGATGTTTTTAGAGGAGGAACTGAGACTCTAGGTACTCAAGTAAGCAGTGATTTGGTTCCACTCACCACACAAGCCACTTCATCCTAGGAAGCCTGCTGCCCACAGATGGCATGGTATCATTGGGCCAGCATATCGATACTCTGTCAGCATTATTCAGCCCTCAGTTCTAGCTAAGACCTGAAGGAGCAGGGCTAGGGGCCCTCATATGACAAGAATGACTCCTGGAAAGCCCACAGTCTTGTTGGTTATGACTAGCCACAGGAATACACCCACCTGTCATTCCTCATACTACAGGCTGAGCAGGAAGCATGGGGCAAGTGACATCAGATTGCCCTGGTGAGAACCTGGTACCTAGACCCAAGTGGGTCCCAACAGACCTTCATGGGTTCATTGCTCTAACCTGGCTGAGACGTGGCCAGAGGCACCTGAAACCATTAAAAAGCATGGTAATTGGACTATGATTTCCTCTTTACAAGCCCATCTCATAAATCCACCAAGCAGAGCCCAGCTAATGTGGACCTTGCCTTGACACTGAGTCAGAGGCGCCGGAGGGAAGAGCCCCTGGGTCTTGTGAAATGTTAATCAATTTCCAATGTAGAAATAGACAAAGGGAAATTTCCATCTTTGGAAGATTGATCTGAGGCGTCATGGTTGATCTCCTTTTTATCGAACACGCTCACTTGCTGGGTGAAGGGTCATTTTTTTTAACATTATCACATTAAATTGCCTTTAATATAGCAGACCAAGCTGGTAATGTTAAACAAAGAGAAAAATGCCTCTACCTCCACAAAATAAAGTAAAACATTTCCTCTCTCTTGATTTCCTTTGTAGCATCTCCCTTGCCCAGCCTGTAGCTCTCAGCACTGAGCCAACTGAGGGTGCATGCAGTTTCTATCAACATGACCTTTAGTGTAGCTGAATGTCATGGGGGCCTGGGTTCTGTGTCTTGTAGGTTAAACCATAACCACAGAGGAATCCACCAGAGTCTACCAATAGCTCCTAAATCAGGCTCCTGGCTGAGGGGTGACATTTGTGGTCCTGGAAGAACATGGAAGGCAGGGTAGACTTAGGTCTCACTGTGTCTCAAACACAAAATGCTCTGGTAGGCTCACATGTCTAGTGATGTTGTTTGGGAAGGTTGAGGAACCTGTAAGAGTTAGAACCTTGCTAGAGGAAATACATCACTGGGGGTGGGCCTTGAGGCTTAACAGCCTGATTCCCACCTCAGGTTCACCCTGTGTTTCCTGAGTAGAGATGTCATCTGACAGCCAGCACCCTGCTTGCTGTCACACCCTCCCTGCCTTTGCCTGGGTATGTTTTACCACAGCGACAGAAATGTAACTGAGACATATCTGGTCAGCAGCTGCTTTCTAGGCATGTGCTATGGCAAGCAAACTCTCTTAACAGTGGTGAGGGCTGGTGCATGGTTGAGGGGAGTGAAAAGGATTATAAGTTATGGTGTGTTCTTTTTCTCATCGCTGTGATATAATACCTATCAAGAAGCAACCTGCGGAGAGGGGTTGACTTCTGGCTTACAGTTTGAAGGGATACAGTGGTGAGAAAATACAGTGACAAGGGCATGAGGCTACTGGTCACCCTGCATCATCTATTAGAAAGATGAGTAGCAGTGTAGATCAGGTTTTGCAATTTCTTCCTCCCCTTATTCAGTCTGGGTACCCAGTCCATGTTTAGAGTGGGTCTTCCCTCCTCACTTAAACCTCCCTGGTGTCTTCCAGATCATTCCAACTCCAGTCAGCCTGACAGTGAAAACTAACTATCACACATATTGGCCTGGGTTCCTACCCTGAGGTCAGCTGCTCGCTGACTTCCTGGGATCAAGCCCTTTTCTAGTCTGTTTCCACACTAACAGCACAAGTGACCCCAAAGAATCTTCCTCACTTAGATCCCCTGGCTCTATGGGCCAGTCATGGAGAACACGGACTGATGCCCAGCACTCGCTTCTCGGAGCCTCAGTTTCCTTATCTACAAAGTGAAGAATTCAAATCAGACCAGACCACAGATCTCTGGGTACTCCCCAGTGCTACACCCTGCATGACTTTAGAATTGCCCTGAGTCCGGGGGAAATTATGAAGAAAGGAGATTTGCAGACACACACAAAACTGGGAGGGGGCATGTCATTCACTCTCACGGAGATGCACCAACAACAGCCTAGAAATCCTTATTGTATACATCTGAATTTAGAAGGCAAGTCCATTATACACAGCTGAACCAGGACATGGGTTTCACTAATCTGGATGGGGGTTTCTGTAGGAAAGCAGATCAGGCTGCAGTCATCCAGAAGGAGGAGGTCTATTCTGTCTGCACACACATCTGCATGGGGACCCAGGGGAGTCTTTGCTATTTCACTGAGCCTGAGCTAGGAAAGGCTTTGCCATTCCCATAGGTCTGAGGCATTGGAGTCTTTGATGTGGCCATGGCCACGTCAACAACACATTTACTAAGGACCTCAATCATTCCCACACCCGAAGGCTTGTTACGCTTCCCTGAATCCCCACTAGACCTGTGACATTTTCCAGCAACATCCATGATGCTGAACTCACTGGTGACTCTGGCTTTGTCTCTTCTCACAGTATGTACTAAAGGAGCAGGACCTGGACGGTTCCCTGAAGGGATGCTCAGCAGGTGATCTCCTGCGATTTGATGACTATAATAGCGACGGCTCCTTGACTCTTGGAGAGTTCTACACAGCCTTCCGTAAGTGAAGCCTCTGCATGGGCTGTGGGAGTGGGAACTAACTTCCTGATATTGCCATGCCTTGGTAGTGATATGGCGTCAGAAGCCTGGACTGCAGGTACATACGGCATGTGAACCTGGCTTCAGCAGTCCTCCAGGTGGATTTGGCTTAGCTGTGAAAGAAATTGAGATTGTTCTGTACAATCCTGAGCTATGAGAAACGGGCAAAACAAGATGGATAGGAAGGAGAGGGCTTGCCAACTCTCTGCCTTTTGAATAAATATGTTCCTCATTGATGGAGGGATTTGGGGTTGTAACTACAGCAGAGCTGTAACAACAATCCTCTTGACTGCATATCATGTGATTTTTTCCTGGAGAGACCTCACAAATGACATCAGTGACAGACCACAGAAATGACTCCATCCAAGTCCAGCTTAGTGAACCAGGGGAGTTACTTAACAGGAACCTGGGTAACTCAAAGGTAGCAACATCACTGAAAAGCTCACTATAGCATGGGCAATAGCTTGCAGGTTAACAACTTTCCTGCAGGACTTGAAGGCAGCTCCACTGGTTAGAGAGTCTCCTCTGCCCTGCAATTTCCATTACTTACGTAACTTAAGGGAGGAGGTCCTGTGAATCTTGTGGGTTTCAGGAGCTTCCTGTCTTTGTTTCATTTACTTCCTGAGTCATAAGCTTCCCTCCTTCCTCCAGGAGAGAATGTTTCAGTTCAGGGGAAACTGGTCTACATCAGTGAACATGGAGGCAACTGGGCTCCACTGAGGAGCCCTGCCTGGAGGGAGATTCTGAGGGAGGGCCATGGCCAGGCAGAAGGTGGGCCCAGTCAAACCCAAGGGCAATGGAGAAAGTCTCTATGTTCAACAGGAGGAGTGGGATATCTAAGAAGCCACGGATAGTAAGTGCTGTTGGAGTGGGAGTGGGGGCTCTCAAGCGCCCTCAATGAGCAACTCTCAGGAAAAACAAACAAACAAACACTTCATTTAACATGCTGGTATAGCCTCTAGCTATTGCCCAAAGAGGCCCAGGCTAATCAGAAGCTTTTCATAGGATTAGGTATTGTCGTAACCTTGTGACCATCTTAGGGTGGTCTTTTTATCCCCACCCCAAAGCAAATTTCCTGGAACTAAGCAAGTTTTACAGACGCTGAAATGTGCAGTTTCTAGTTAAGACAGTTTTATCTTTAGCAAACAGGACTTGCTGTCTAAGTAGATATTGGAGGTGGTCACTTCTCAGGGGAGAAGAGCCAATGCACACCTCTTTCAGGAAATGGAAACAGAGGACAGCTTTAGAGAGCTGACGTCAGGAGTTCAGTGTTAGCTCTGTGGTCTCAGATGAGAGGCAGCTTCTTACCCCTGTGCAACGTCCCATTCCCTAAGTCAGCTTGCTAATCACAGAGTTGACGCTTGTTGTTTCCCTTTTCTTTTCACTCCCGTGAAATCAGAGGGGTTGCCCTGAGTGGCTCCTCCTTGGGTTCCCTGGTATGTGCCACACCTAGAGATGACCTGCTTAGAGATTCCATCAAGCTAACTCTGGGTGGGGCTCGCTGACGTGAGAGGTAACCTCAGAGAGACCCACCAGGGACCACACTGAGGAGAGGGCAGCTAGAATGCTGGGCCCACGCTAGAAACCAGAAGAACTTGCTTTCTATACAAAGTATCCAAGGGTACTCTGGTCCACTTAGAGCTGGTAGTGTGTGAGCCCTCTGAGATACTTATAGGCGTGACCTGCAATCTCCTGCAGTCACAGCCCATGGTAGGCATTGGCCTTGGGGAGGCAGTATGATCTCCTGAAGACACTGAACATCCTAAGCCATGGAATGTAGGATCCTTCCTCCTAGCACTCATCAGGATTTTGTCTTTCCAGAAGGTATCCCTTCAAGGTAGTGACACTCCTTTGAGCTCTGGCCATTCCCAAGAGGCAGTTCTATCTTGTTGGCAAAAAGGTACTTGGAAGACATAAAGGAGAGAAGCTTGTGGCTGGTGTGGTTCTGTGGGAAAAGCAAAAGCTTTCCAGTTCACATCCTCTTTGGTGTCCAGGATTACCAGCCAACAACTACTACAAGGCTTTGTTTGAGGTACTATGGTTATGTTTGGTCTCTAGCATCCTCATTCTTGACAACTAGTAAAGCCTGTGTGAGTGACTTATAAGCTTGTGCTGTTGCTAGAAGTACCTGTTTGGAGCATTAAGAGCTTATTCCCAAAAAAAATAAATGTTGAATTTTAAAAGTGGTTACGGAGTTGACTATTAAATGATCAGGAGCTTTTTAAACACACAGTTGAGTAGTCAGTAGCTCTAAATCCACAGTGGTGGGGATCCTAACACCTCCAATAATCCACAACCACATAAAGGCTACCCAAAAGGGGAAGGATTGTTATTGTTATTATTATTATTCAGAGAGATAGATACTAAGTGTTGACCTGACTAGCACAAGAGAGACCCTCTGTGTTGACCCCAGTGCTTGGTTCATTCCTAGTCTCTCCATCCACTCCCTTTGATAACTCCAGGCCCACAGAACTCAGATGGACCGGGGAAGTAGTGTCAGAGGGAACAACAGCCAGACTTGTTCTCCAAGTCAGGAAGTGGCATACTTTCTGGGGACAGATCGTTTCATGAACACTGCCAACTCCTCTGCAGAGGGGTCTAGATCACCTTGAAGGCACATGCAGGGTGGGAGTGTCTTGATTGGGTTAGTTGAGATAGGAAGACCTGCCCCTAGATGTGGGCAGAACCATCCTGCAGGCTGGAGTCCTAAGCTGCTTGAAAAAAGGAAGACAACCTGGGCACCAGAATGCATCCCTCTCTCTGCTTCCTGATTGTGGGTATAATATAACCAGCTGCCACATACTCCTACTGCTGTGCCTTCCCCGCCATGATGGCCTGTATCCTCTCAAACTGGGAGCCAAAGAAAACCCTCCCTTCCTGAAGTAGCTTTTGTCAGGCAGTTGATAACAGCAATACGTAGAGTAATTAATACAGCTATGTACCACTACCCACGTGGCCATACATCCTGACATCCTGGGAGTGGATCTGGAGCCAAACAGCAATTCTGCCCCTGAGGAAATGCAAGCATCTCTACTGCCCATGAAGATACTCACATAGGTTCTTGAATGCCGATACAAACAAGAGCCCCTGCAGGGAAAGGGGCACACTGTCCCTTCAGCTTCAGTCATAGATCTCAGCCAGGGCACCCTAATGTCTGCTCCTTCCATGCCTGGATTATTATTTGAAAAGCTTTGTAATAATCGTTTTTGAAGCAAATTAGATTCTGCGGTTGCCTTGGACTTGTTTCGAACCAGGCAGCCAAACCATTCATCACAGCCCAACCCAAATAATAGATATGCAATAAAATGTAAACTTGCAGCCTTTGAGGAAGCCACAAAATGAGTTAACCCAGCTATAAAGACTTGACATGCTGAGGCTCTGAGCATCCAGGGATCAATGGCTTTTCAAAGTTATAGGAACTGCATGCTAATTCCCAGAGCTGTAGTGATAGATGTTTGGCTCTGTGAGTTCTAAATAAGTAATTGAATCGAGACATACAGGTATAACTGATTCCCTAAAAAGCGGTGGGCATTCAAGAAATCTCACTAAAAGCCAGTCATATCTTACACATCTCAGCAACAATATTTTAGATTTAATTTTAACAGCTGGCATTGATGGCCTGGCAGAAGTTGAGAATTTGGAATTTCATTTGGGCTACAAGGTAGGGTGGAGGATGCAGGGGAACTCCAGCCCCACCGCCTTCTGAAGCAAACACAGTCACTCTTCTGGAGATGGCAGGTCTGGGAGTGGTGTCACACACCTTTAATCCCACACTTGGGAGGCAAAAGCGGGTGGATCTCTATGAGTTCTGGGCCATCAAGGGCTACGTAGTGAAACCTTGTCTCAAAACAAATAAACAAACAAAGATGATGTATCTGGGTGTTTGCCCTACAGAAATGACATGTATTGATAAGTGCTGTGGGGATGGAAAGGGAGGCTTCCTCAGGAGTCCACCTTCTGGTGTAGCTGTTCTGTCTCTTCCTTGAGCTGGTTTGCAGTACGCAGCCTGTTAGAGGCTAGGCACAGAGTTCCATAGCTACTAGCTGTCTTGCTAACTGAGTTGGTCCATGATAAGGTTGCATCTCACTCTTGGCTTTAGGAAATAGGTGAATGACATAATCTGGGAAGAGGACACAGGACAGGTGTTAGCCATAAGAACCAGATCTCTGTGTGTCTGTCTCTATGTCTTTCTCTGTGTCTCTGCATCTGTCTCTGTCTCTGTCTCTGTCTCTCTCTCTCTCTCTCTCTCTCTCTCTCTGTGTGTGGGGGGGTATGCATATGAATGAAGGAGTGTGGCGGCCAAAGAACAATCTAGGATATAGTTTCTTGGTCACTGCCCACCTTGGTTTTTGAAAGGGTTTCTCACTGACCTGGAACTCATCAATTAGCTAGGGCTGCATGGAGAACAAGCCCCAGGGATCTGCCCCTGTCTTCCTCCCTGGTACTAGATCAGGGTTGCAATGATGTTCAAAAAAGCGTGGAGGGGGCACTCTAGGATCAACTCAGGTCCCTGTGCTGGCAAAGCAAGCACTTTACCGACTGAGCCATCTCCTCTGCCCCCGCATCCATCCCTTTCTGACCATCAGTCAGGGCTAGGACTCCCATCCCAGTCACCCATCCCAGTCACCCATCCCATACAGTGACAGGCATGAAAGATGAAGGTGGCCTCCCTCTCTCACTCCATCTATCAACTAAACCTTGTTTTCAAGTCGCTTCTGACACCCCAGATCAAAGTCAGACCTAGGAGCTAAAGGCACAGTGTCCTCTCTGCATGTGTCCTCCATCTCCCTCTCTTCCTCCCCCACAGCCACCTGTCCCTGCTGTGACAGAGACCCAGGTTCCAGGGCCACTGGAAAGCCAAATGCAAGCTGGTCCTGACTGTTCATCACAGTCAATTAACTCAAAAGTCGCTCACCTAAAAAGGCTTCTCAGTTCTGCATGTTTTTACACTTTTCCAAATG